TAAAACATTCTTTCAGTATTATAACAGTAAGAGTGTAGTCAAGGAAGATTTTCAAACTTTAAGGAATTCAAAGAGGAGTTGAAAAAGAAAATGAACAGGAGATAGCAAACATATTAAATACTATGCTAAAAGAGTTAAATTGTGAGGACAGGTTGGATAAACTTGGTCTCTATTCCTTTGAATATAGAAGGTAGAGGGTGATCTAACTGAAGTGTTTAAAATTGTAAAGGGATTCGATTAGGTAGCTACAGAGAAACCATTTCTTCAAGGGGGCACAATCTTTTATTAGAGCTAGGCCATTTAGGAACGTAATCAGGAAACACTTTTTCACACAAAGGGTAGTGGAAATCTGGAACTCTCTCTCCCCCAAAAGGCTATGGATGCTGAATCAATTCCAATTTTCAAGAACTGAGGTCGATAGATTTTTGTTAGATGAGGTATCAAGGGATACGAAGCAAAGGCAGTAAATGGAGTTGAGGTACAGATCAACCATGATCTAATAGAATGGCAGAACAGGCTTGAGGGGTTGAATGGCCCACTCGTGTTCCTATAAATAAGTACTTTTGGGAGGCATTTATCAGGGATAGATATATAAATATACATATATAAATATATAAAAATATATAATACATATGTAAATATATATTTATATACATCCCCACCATCATCATCCAGTAAACATTATTTGAGCTCCAGGACTTTAACATAAGTGATATTGAGATTCTATATAGGCTCAAAGGCTTTAGAACCAACAAATCCCCCAGAACTGATGAACTGTAAATCAGGGTATTTGGGGAGATTTGTGCACAGAACGATATTATGAGGGAATCAACGGTCACTGGGGAGGTTTCAATTTCAGGAAGTTTTTCTTTACCCAGAGTGTAATTAACGATTGGAATAGGTTACAGGAAGGCAGGGAGGTTAAGGCTGAGATACTGGATTAATTTTAAAACAATGTGATGCTATGATGGGAGGACTGTTGGGTGGGTGTTCTGGAAGGATGAGATCAGATGGTTCTCGGGGCCTTTTTCAGCCGAACTAATTTTGTGAAAAGTTTCCACATCTAGCCCACGCTTTACCCTTTGGGACATTCTCCTTCCCTCCCTTTCCACAGACACCATTTGTTTTATTCAGTACTAAAATGGCAGGATACTGCCATCAGAGAGCATAATAATATAAATTAGGGACTTGCCTCCTACAAAGGGAAATATACTCAAAGATAAAGTGACTATTTAGCACTGCGGGTGAGCCTTTCACAGCACCCTGAGCCTCTGATGTATTTAGCTGCTTTAGTCTAGAACTATCTCAACCAGTATTTATGCAAAGCAGATGATGAATGGCTGCGTCTAAATAGAATAAAAAGGATGAAACAGATATACAAATAGCACAAGCTGAGTCACTGATGATTGTTCATCTCAACATTGTTTCTTTCTTTCAGGATCTCTTGGGTCATGGAATGATGCGTCCTGTTCGACACAATTGCCTTTTATTTGTGCCTACAGAATCTGAAGCCATTTAAAAACAACTTACATTCATTAATCCTTTCTAGGAATGGATTCCCTATCTTTATTTGTTCTCTAATGCCACTGTCACTGTGCTTATGGTGGCTACATTGACTTTCTCCAGAAGCAAATAATTCATGCAGTTAAAACAAGCGATGGCAAAATAATGCATTTGTTTGGATTTATTTTCGATAGCACACACCATTTATGATATTCATTTTAAATTTAGTTTTATGATTTATTCCTCATTGTTCTGAACATGTGCAGGACATGGTAAACAATCCTGAGGGATTATATATGCTTTAATCACTACTGAAATTGGCACAAATTCAATATTGTACCAATAATGCATCCAGTATAAAGTGCTGATGTATGACTTAACCCATAAATTGACATCCTGATTATGTACAACATTATTAGTTGTTGGCACCGGGAAAGGAATAGCCACTTAAGGAAAGGATATGTGGGAAGGTCATGTTTGCTTTAACCAACTGAGCTGACATATGAATTTATGATCCTTTGTTAGGTCAGAAATAAGAATCCGTTCCTGCCCAGTCTGTTTTCCATAAGAACTTTAAGATGGCACCAAAATGGGCGTTCCATTCGTATTAGACATAAAGTGAGTTTGTAATAAAATAATAACTGCTAACTTTACATTGGATAAAGTAAATCATTGCATCTCACCACATTAGCAAACACCAAATGCAAATACCACCACCAACAAATTACGTATGTTGTTAAATATATGTAAACAGATGTTGATTAGCACAACATCATTTAAACTGTAACTGTTAAAATAAAGCTCCAAAATATCATCCAATAGTTTGTATACTATCTCACAACAACAACAACAACAAGATTCCATTTATAAAGCGCCTTTCACGTCAGGAGGACGTCCCAAGGCGCTGCACAGTTGGGTCATGACCCGAGCAGGGGGGAAATGGTCAGGGTGAGGGAGGGGAGGGAGCAAGGAGGGGGGAAATGGTCAGGGTGAGGGGAGGGAAGGGAGGGAGCGAGGAGGGGGAAGAGAGTCGAGAGGGAGCTGAAGGCACGGTGAAAGAGAAAGGTTTGAGACCGGCCTTGAAGGAGGAAAGGGAGGAAGCAAGGCGAAGGCACTGGGGGATGGAGTTCCAGAGCCTGGGGGCTGAGAGGCTGAAGGCCCGACTACCGATGGTAGGGCGATTGGGGCGGGGGACGTGGAGCAGACCGGAGCCAGAGGAACTGAGGGTATGGGCAGGTAGGTAGGGGGATAGTAGGTTGGAGAGGTAGGAGGGAGCAAGGCCGTGAATGGCCTTGTAGGTGAGGATGAGGATCTTGAAATCAAGATCACCTTCATAAAGTTAATAACAAAACTACACCAGAAGGAACAGATTTTGACACCTGAAAAGCAATAAAATTTTTCTAAAAGATAGAACAAAATTACATTTGTATAAGTGCCTTTCATGTCGGGAGGACCTTCCAAGGCGCTGAACAACCAGTGTTTCGAATCCAAGCTGGAAGTCGGGATGGGGAGGGTGGAGGGCAAGGAGGGAAGGAGGGTGATTGAAAGCACAGTCAAAGAGGAGGTCTTGAAGGAGGCAAGGGAGGGGGTGAGGCGAGGGACTGTGGGATGGAGTTCCAGAGGGTGGGGGTAGAGTAGCTGAGTGTCTGCCTGCCAATGGTGCAGCGGGCAAGACAGGGGTCATGAAGCAGAATGGACAGGGGTCATGAAGCTGGTGAGTGGAGGGAGCGGGTAGGTAGGTAGGGGTTTAGGAGTAGCAGAGGTAGGGAGAGCAAGGCCATGATGAGCTTTGAAGGTGAGGACCAGGATCTTGAACTGTATCCTCTGTGTGATGCGAAGCCAGTGGAATTGGGTGCAAGCGCTGTGAGATGCCGTCCGGTGTGGAGGGCGCTATATAAATCCAAGCTGTTGTTGTTGGATGAGGATGGGAGGTGATAGGATCACGAAATCTGGTGTGGGAGAGGACACGGGCTGCAGAGTTCTGGATGATCTGCAGCCTAAGGGAGGAGTCGGGGAGGCCGATAAGCAGGGAGTTTGTGTCGTCGAGCCTGGATGTTATGAATGCATGCATGAGAGTCTCGGCGGCCTGCGAAGTGAGACAGTGGTGGAGCCGAGCAATGCTGCGGAGATGGGGAAGGTAGAGAGAGTCATGGCACGGATGCGGGGTAGAAAGATCAGTTGATGGTCAAATGAGACGCCAAGGTTCCGGATTGAGGTGGAATGAGCATTCTTGGATGGTGATGTTGTCAGTGGCTGAGGCACTGATGGGAGCCAATTATGAGAGCCTCGGTCTTGTTTGAATCGTTGGATAGAACATATCTTGTAGTTTTCTCACCTCCTCTTCTGAAGGCATTCACTCATGCTATGGTGTAATTTGTTAAGTGCTAGTTGCTCTCGGTATTTCACCCAAGTGTCTACTCTTGTGCAGGAAGTATGTCCATGTTTGTTTTTTGGCAGGAAAATTGACTCTGAGGCGCTATCAAAACTGAGATTTATCTCTCCCTCTCTCACACACACACACATATACAGCGTGGAGTCCTGTAGCTTAGTGGTTAGAGCACTCACTCAATCCACGACTGTTTGTGGGACACTGCTGTGCGCAATTGGCTGCTACGTTTCGCCCACAAAATATACACTCAATTCACTTTACAGTATATTCTGTGAAGCGCTTTGAGATGTCTCGAAGACGTGATAAGGCACTATATCAAATGCAAGCTTTATCATTTATTATTATACTCACTCTCTACTGAATCAGTAATAGCATCCTGGGGCAGAAACCCAACTAATTATTTCAAGTCCCCAGAGTGGGGACACAGAGGCCAGTAGAGTCCCGCTTTTACTTTTGCTGAGAGCCAATCACCCAGCAGAGAGCAGCAATCCAACATGGCATCTTCTTGACACAATAGCATTATCAGGTAAAGCACGAATACCCGTTTTATGTTGGGTTTATACTAATGGAGGCAAAGCCACTTCACTTTCTACAGTGTAGGCATGTGGAACAGTAACCCTAACTTTTAGTTTCTGCTCTACATGTCATTTAAGTCAGGGCAGCATGCAGAGAACGTCAAATCAGATATTAAATGGTTAACACACTGAGGAGGAATAAAAACAATTCCCCCATAAAACTGTGTCCAGGGTCCACATCACTCCTGAACTTGGTGAGTGATCCTGGCAATGGCTGCCACAGCATAAAATTATTTCATTCTCAAGCATTGTTCTTCTTCACATTCACCAGCATAAAATGAAATATTTAAATGGGCAATAAGAAAGTAAGGATTTTACGTATGCTCACCAAATATCTAACTTTGAAATATATAATAATAATAATCCTTGCATTTGATATAGCGTTTTTCACGTCTTCTCAACATCTCAAAGCGCTTCACAGAATAGACTGTAAAGTGAATTGACCGTATATTCGTGGGCGAAATGTATAGAATCTGCCCCTATCACACCTTATAAAAATATTGTTGTCTAACAAATGAAAGTTACCTTATGATTTCTACATATAGGGAATGAGTTTGTGTATTTGTATTAGTCAATATATTCTATAATGTATTCTGGGTATATCTGACACTTCTCGAATATAACAAAAATAGTTGGGTCAGAGGGGAAATCAACGCAGCTATCATATAGATTGGTGTTTCTGCCATCTTTGCGTGGTGGTTGGTGATAACCTGGGCGTCCTTGAGTGAATTCTCCGACCAATACGCGTGCCAAGAACATGAACCTAGTGTCTGCAGTGAAATCTGAATACAAGTCCATTTTGGAATCCAAAGCATCCCTGGCAAAGTACCTCCCTGCAGACAAAACAAACAGATTGATTTCTTGTTACATCCCGACAAGACGCAATCTCTGGAGCATTCTTCATTTCTTCTCCTGAAGGTTTAAAATGAGGTATTCACAAATCGGAAATCCTGCCAGTAATAAAGATGTGAGTCATGCCGACTTGCAGAAATTCTGCTGCAACATGACCAGAAGGATATTGTGTCAGAGAGGATTCCTCACAGGTCAGAATGATACACATTTGGTTTCCAGCAGAATTCAATATTTCAAATTCTGTGCAAAATCTGCAAGTTTGACCTCATTCTCATTTAAATCAATATTTTAAGCAAAAGCTTTTTACCCTCATCGCGTCTACCCCACAAAGATCTCAATCACATCTGTTTACTCTTCTGGGAATTGTGTTTTGATAACGTGTTCCCTGACACCAAGTTTGCAGATGAGTCATGCATCCCTGCATCTCTGTTTTGCAAACCCAGTCATTGGGCTCTATAGATGGGTCATACCTACTGCCCAAGTGCTTTCTTGCTCCTGCAGTCTACTGGGTTTTATGCTGCATCTTGGCACCAATAAACCACTAAATTTTGATTCATCTCATCCTTTTTCCTACCATTCTTCTTATTATTATTCTTGGTCTTAGAGGTGAAATGGACTATTAGCTTTTCAGTTTCATGCAATAATAATAATAATAATCCTTGCATTTGATATAGCGCTTTTCACGTCGGGAGGACGTCCCAAAGCGCTTCACAGAACACACTGTAAAGTGAATTGACTGTATATTTGTGGGCGAACGCGGCAGCCAATTGCGCACAGCAATGTCCCACAGACAGTCGTAGATTGAAAATGACCAATTTATTATTGTTTTTGGAGGGATTATTATTAGGCGTGTGGAGTAAGGAAACTTGCCCAAGGTTTCGCCTTGCACAATCTTGTGTTATATATGTCCGTAGAATTTCCAATCCCCTTTCTCTACCGTATTGGAAATCTACTGTGTATTCTCTGATGTAAGCAGCAATATTAAGCAGCTGTAAGGATGATGTTGAAACAATGATTTCATAAACGACAGAAGTGAATGTTTGTGGAAAAGTTTGTTAGAAATATAAAGAAAATTTCAGTACGCACCGTTTCCGTATAAAGTCCCAACCTGTGCACAGCTTCCCCACTCAAAGTTCTGGTTGCAGATTGCATCAACAAACATTGGGTCTGTGCTACAGAAAAGGAATCTCTCATCTACAGGCTTTCCATTGTCCCTCTTCTTCATCCTTTCTTTCTGCCTAAGGGCACAGAGATATGCAAAAAGCAGTTAGTGCACTTGAACTGAGCAGCTTAAAAAGGACTGAGAGGTCACTGTTAAGAAGTTCAGGTGTTCAAGTAGCTTCACCTCTCACCATGTTCCCAGAACACATCTTGTACATTGGTATTTGATTAAAAAGACAGCCAAATTAAGACCCCATGAAACTAATTTGGAAAATGCAATGTGGCCACCTGGTGTTGGAAACATGCTACAACATAAACATCCTATCACAAGGTCGAATAATGTATCTTAAAAAATGCAAGTGAACCTTGTGCCCCACTTTTACCCAAAGCAAAGTAACTGGCACAAGCAGAGAGCAGATTATTGAACCCGCTTATTATATGTCATAGGGTTTATTCGAAAAAAATAAAAATAGTTTAAATAACCTTTATGATGTGTGAAATCGTAAAGTACAGTTGCGATCTATAGAGTTTATCTGTTCAGGATTGAGGCCCAAAGCTATGTTTGCTTTTTTCTGTTATTCTATTTTTTTCTATTGTTGTTGATTAACTCAATGAGCATTGCTACTTTTGTGAAATGGAACGTTTGTTTACTGCAGACACTTCAACATCGGGGAGTCTAGAACATTTTTACAAAACAAAAGACTAAAACTATTGATAAGCACATTTGACAATGTTTACTAACCACTGGAATATTTCCCAAAGTCCAAGGTTTTGGTTCCGGTCAATTTTCTGGATTGCGCCGGTTGGCATGGTCTGCTGGAAAAGAGACTGTATTTCTTCATATTCCTTGGAGAATGTAGAGAGTGCAACTCGCTAAAGGAATATAAAATAAATGCAGAACATTAGGAAATATCTACTTAGCTTAAATACTTACTACATATTGTTTTTGCTGAATAAATATTTTGATTGGTACTTGTGCTGTGCTGTATTCTTGTGCTTGCCGGGTAAGCTCCAAATCCAGGCTCTTCTCGGTTTCAATGTGTCAATATGTGAAGAGTCAGACCCAATGCGTACATACACCAGCTCATTCATGTGTGGCTGAACCATTTGAGATATATACATACACAAAATCTGAATCTCCAAGGAGCTGTCACCATGAGCCTGTGGGGTAGATTCACTTACTCTGTCCCCATTAATTCATACAGTGTTTGTGCAAAGGACAACGGCACTCAATATAATTATACTATCAGATTAGATTATGATCCATCGTGGAAGACCTGGGATATATATTATGAGTGAAGATTGAAATAAACTACCAGCACTGTATCACTGAGACTAGGATTGAGTCGGGAATGGAAAGATGGGAAGTAACACAGCAGATGAACACTTGTCTAAAAGGTAAAAGAAAGAACACAAATTTCCTTTGAGCATGTCAGGACTTCAAGGTCAAAAATAAGGCTTGAATTTCTTCACCACCTTTCTATAACTTAGCTCTTGTTTTTTAATACTACGTCCTTTGACTGTTCATAAACCTTGACGTCACGCCTCACTGAACTGTGTGTCATCTGATTTTGTAAGTGGTCAGCATGCAAACATATGAAATCAATGTATTTACAAAGTCTTGTTACCCCTTGTGTTTTTCTTGCAATGGATTTTTATTTTCTGTTGCAGATGATTCGAGTGCACAAAATCTGATACCAGTAACTGTACCATCGACTATTGTACATGACTATTGTAGTCAATACCTGGGTCTATGAATGTCCGAGGACTAGAAAGTCAATGGATTTTAAGGAACTGTTCTAAAAAGTGGCTCCCCAAAAAATGTTAAATACTTCTACTGAATATAATAAAGTACTTCTAAATACAATTATCATCATTCGCCCACATTTCCCACTTTTAGTTGTTGGTCAGTGCACTGTAGGAAAAACAAACATTGGGGTAACATGACTTTTTAAACATGACTTTTTAAAGCTCATGGGACTCAAATTCTAATACAGTCACGAACATCGATTGTCAGTCAAATCAAAGTTCATACCTGATATCCCATGTCTGACAAAGCTGATTTGTCCAGTTTTCAGGAATGTTTTTTGGTTCACAGGCACTGGCTTCTACTTGTGCAGACTGTGATTTGCTGCAAAAGCATGGGCTGTTAAATATTTAAATCAACTTTCATGCTCTTTATTTATATGAGATGACAATTATCCCATGCATTTGTAAGATTTATTTACTTATAATATAAAATACATCGCATCTAAGGAATAATAATGTTTCTTCACTTTGTCAGCATTCAACCCTCCCAGGTCAGGTGCAGCACAGAGATCAAGAGATCAAGAACACAGGATTTGAAACAAGATTCGCAACTGATATACACAACTTGAATCCTGTTCCAACCCCAGTAACTCCACTTCAACGTGCCTGGAAGGAAACCATGTCCAAACAGAGCTTCGGTATTTATACAATATAATTTACATTTATGCAGTGGCTTTCACGTCGGGACCGTGTCTCAAAGGCCTTATCACAAATGATGAGAACCTGAGCCGATGGTGACATTGGGTAACTGAGAGGATAATCTCCCGCTCCCAAACACTCAGCATAATAGGCTGATACATTCACACAACAATAATCAGTTAGAAGCTGAATCACTTCAAAGTTCATGTATATTAACACTTGTCTCAGAAGCTACAAAGGTTTCCATACCCCTGGATCTTTTTTTCTACATCCTCCTCAGTGATAAATCTTGGTCTCCTCCGCACTTCATTCGATGTACCTTGTAACACATTTTTCTGGCACATTTCTAAAAGAAGGATGAAAGCAACACTTTGAAAAGTACTCAACTGACAACAAAAAGGAATTGTTCAGCCAATGCCTTTGAAGATCCTAAAGCTGAACCCCAAAATCGTAAACTTTGAAACAAGCTTCACACGTTTTCTAGTGTCATTGGATAGAAAAATAGTCTAAATGCTTCCTACTACACCACTAAGGGTAAGATTTGAGGTCTCAGATTAAGCAGCTGACCAATCACACATAATACATTACTGTATTCATACATTATGGGTGGTTATGCAACACACCTTACATCATTCCCAAGCAATTTGTGTGCCACATTAGCACTAAAAATCATGAATTATCCAGAATTTATGCTCTTACTCTTTGCATTATCAAACAGCCTCATTGAACATGTATTGACAGTGCAATGTATGAAAATGATATACACAATAAGTTATTAAAAAAATACCCAATTTTGTGCATATATTATAATGCCTTTACCATCCAACCAAAAACCTGGACCCAGTATATTACAGCACAAAATAAAATTGGTTTAACAAAAGAGGGAGCGTTTACATCACAATCATAGTTCCATAATTTGGTTAATCTGTAAAACATGGTTATAGTAACCAAGGTCGCTGGAGAAAGAAGTGCTTTGGATGGAGTGAATGTACCTTTAAAGCTCAGGAAGTCGCTGAATTCTCCTATGACAATAGGCATTTCGTCATCCTTATTGGCCAAATAGACATTCTCCAGGTCTGCAGATGTTACAGGCAGAGCGTGGTCATCCTGTCAGAGAGAGAGAGAGGTACAGACTCAGAGTTTGAACTTCTCTCCATGAAACTGATCTTCAGCTCAGACTGAAAGGAATTTGCAGCTAGCAAACACCCATTGTGTGTCTTAGTCATACAACATTCCCCAAAATTGTTTTCTCTCTGCCTCTCTAGAAGCCAGCTACACATGCTACATGTGTAGCTGGGATGCATGGAGCTCTCAGTTTAGTTTGGATACTCTTAAGCATAATGGTGGGTTTCTGCATGATTCAGACACCCAGCTGATCAAACAGAAGTACTAGTTGGGTATCCAAGCTGGGGGCAGGAGTGGAGGGGTGGGGAAAGGTGACCAAAAGCACCATCAACAACAACAATATTACCTTTGTATAGCACCTTTTATGTCAGGAGGACATCCCAAAGCGCTGGACAATCAGTGTTTCGGACCCAAACTGGGGGTCCGGATCAGGGCAGGGGGTGAAAGAAGGTTACCAAAGGCACAGTCGAAGAGGAGGGTCTTGAGATGAGTCTTGAAAGAGGCAAGGGAGGGAGCGAAGTGGAGGGACTGCAGAATGGAGTTCCAGAGGGTGGGGGCAGAGCGGCTGAAAGCCTGCCCGCCAATGGTGGGGCAAACAAGGTGGAGGGCGTAAGCCCGCTGAGCGGAGGGAGTGGGCAGGTTGGTAGCGGGTTAGGAGCTCGCAGAGGTAGGGGAGATCAAGGTCATGGACGGTTTTGAAAGTGAGGACCAGGATCTTGAACTGTATCCTTTGTGTGATGGGAAGCCAGTGGAGTCGGGCGAGGATGGCGTTGAGAGGGCCGCGGAGTCTAGTGCAGGAGAGGACACGGACTGCAGAGTTCTGGATGATCTGCAACCTATGGAGGGAAGATCTGGGGAGGCCGACAAGCAAAGAGTTTGTGTAGTCGAGCCTGGATGTTATAAATGTGTGTATGAGGGTCTCGGCAGCCTGTGAAGTGAGACAGTTGCGGAGCTGGGCAATATTGCGGAGGTGGGGGAAGGTAGAGGGGGTCATGGCACAGAAGTGGGGTAGAGGCCACTACATAAATTGTAAATGAGAATCAAACAAGAAGTCAAGGTTCCGGACTGGCTTAGTAAGGTGGAGTGTGCATCCTTGGATGTGATGTTGTTGGTGCCTGAGGTGCTGAGGCGCTGACGGGAGCCAATTAGGAGAGTCTCGGTCTTATGGAAGTTCAGCTGTAGAAAGTTAGTTCTCATCCAGGACTTGATATCTGACAGGCATTCTGCCAGCACAACAATGGCCCTGGAGTCAAGGGTGGTGGCAGAGAGATACAGTTGGGTGTCATCCGCATACATAATAATAATAATAATAATAATAATAATAATAATAATAATAATAATAATCCTTGCATTTGATATAGCGCTTTCCACGTCAGGAGGACGTCCCAAAGCGCTTCACAGAACACAGTGTAAAGTGAATTGACTGTATATTTGTGGGCACATGCGGCAGCCAATTGCGCACAGCAATGTCCCACAAACAGTCCTAGATTGAAAATGACCAATTTATTATTGTTTTTGGTTTTGGAGGGATTATTATTAGGTGTGTGGAGTAAGGAAACTTGCCCAAGGTTTCGCCCTCTGCCTGGAATTGAACTCAGGTCTCTCACTTGCAAAGCGAGTGCTCTAACCACTGAGCTACAGGACTCCACCTGAAAGTTGATCCCATGTCTGCGGATGATGTCACCAAGAGGGAGCATATAGATATTGAAGGGAAGGGACCAAGGACAGAGCCCCAAGGAACGCCGCACAAGGCTAGTGCGGGGGGCTAGAGGAGAAGCTGTTTGTGGAGAAGAAGTGAAGGTGATGTACATTCAAGGTAGATCTTGAGGTGGACCTTAAATAAGTTAAGTAAGGGAGTGAGACAAAGGGACTCTGGGATGGAGTTCCAGAGAATGGGGGCAGAAAGGCTGAAAACACAGTGCAGACAAGAGAATGAATGTACCATCAGTCTGTAGTGCCTCTTCCTCTCTGCCCCCTTGGCTCTATAATAATAACAGCACTGCACTGGAGCATCAGCCTAGCTCAAAGTCCCAATAAAAGGCTTAAATCCACAACCTTCTGCCTCAGAGATGAGAGTGCTACCCAATGCAATACAAAATTACATTTGTATAGCACCTTTCACGTCAGGATGAGGCTGACTGACACCTTCTCTTACTTTATCTATGCCACATCTCCCTCCATTCTCTCAGTCTTATCTTCTCTCTGTTCTCTAACACTTCCCCTTTCCATTTCCAGGGTAACTAGTTCTATCAAGCACAACTCCCTCTCACTAGGCTCTCAACTAAGCACCTTGAATTCCTGAAATTATCCAGAAGCGAGCGAGACCCCAGTGAGAAAAAGGAACAAAAAACTTACTTGGCATCCATACTCAGTCCAGGTGCCCAACTTTTCTTTCTTGTACCATAACCATTCTGTGGTCATGATAAAATATGGAGGTTTAGTGACCGAGGAGGCCGTGGAGAGACGTCTTACCGGGTTAGAGCCGCACATCATTGTCTCAAAGTTAATGGATGAAGGCTCAAAGCTGTAAATAATAAAAGTTGTAATTATCCTTGAAATTAAAAGATGTGATCCACGTCTTTAAAATGCTGAGAATCATAGACAATGCAAACAGGTTATTTAATGCAAAGTATATATACATATATGACAACTTATCAGGACATTTTAACTCTAAAACATAATACTTCAAAAGTCACTAGAAAGCTAAGGTCCTGGAACCTGAAAAATATACACTTGTGATAATCTGCTGTCTTTTGTTCATTTGGTCAGGAAGTACCTGATGGAATTGTCTGGGTCACAGAAAGCCATTTCAATCTGCTCCATGTTTGCGAGGTTGGTCCATGTTTTGTTGTAGATCTGCCACTTGTATGGCAAATGCCAGTGAATCCGGATGCACTTGTCTGTACAAAATAAAAACAGAAGAGAGCATTTATTTAAAATCACATTCTGAAACGCTTCATTTCTCTGTCAAAGATCAATTCTGTTATTCAATTTATGAATTAACAAGGTCAACATTTTGCTCATACTTGCACAGAAGTAATCTGATTTCATGCATAGGAAACAATGTTCTGAGACTATAATTTATAGCACTTAATTTCACTGCACTGACAGGCAGTGTTCAAAATACATTTGAATGCGTGATCCAACATACTCAAAGATCAAAGCAATTATTTTGGGCCACAAAGGGTTTTTACTTAGAGGGACCATTTCTACCAACATTTTCCTTACATTTTTGTTTAAGGGTCCACCAGTTTCTGATCTGCTTTACACTGTGGGGCACACTTGGAAGCAATATAGGTAAAAGTCAACAACAACACAGTTCAAGTAACCGCAGTTATCTCCCAAGTCATGTTTGAGGAAGGTCCATGGAGAAAATTGAAGCAAAATTTGCATTGCTGGCCGGAACGAGAAAGAGATTTGTGCAAGCAGAATGAAATACTGGCCTGGAGGGATCCTTTCAATCTCCAGCACCAAGGCAGCTCTGGGGTGAATTGCTTCATCTCAACAGCCACTTTGAGGTGCAACCACAGATAAAAGAAGCACCAGTTGTGCACATGTTGTTATGAATGAAAACAAATCAGTGTAGTAGACCACGACTGTTTATTATTTTGTTCGTATAAAAAGATTGCCATCTTTAAAATATAACAATGGAACTATCAACAATGGTTTAAACAGAAGTTTTTGCACAAACCCTTGTAGCTGCAGTTTTTTCTGAGGAAGTACAGACAGATCTCTTCTGAGTCCGCATTGCCCCTGGAGCTCGTGGATGCCTGCTGACATGCAGCGCCCTTCTCTGGGGAAAAAATACACAGCAAACTATGATTCAATGGAATTGCTACAAAAGTCTGTTGAAAGGGCACTTGGGCCACAGAATTCACAGCTATTTGTGTTTGTGGAGGGAAAAGAACAGGAAGTGGTGTACATAGTTTCTGTTGCAATTAATGTGATAGGACCGTGGCAAGTTTTGAAAGAAAAGAAATTGCTTGGCATAGTAGATATGCAGAACAAGCAATTGAAACTTCATCAATTAATTCCTAAAAGGATTTGGATAAATATTTGAACAAGAATAGGATTTGGTGATGAAATCAACTGAGGGGTTTGAAAGATATAGTGTAGAAGTTATTCATTTATATTATAGCCAGATGGACCACCATAGCCTGCTCCAATCCTGCACCTTTTTATGTTCCTATGAGATTATAGAGATAGACATCGCTACATCTCGATTCAAGTGATGAAATACTTCATGGGGCACAATGGTTCTAATTCTCCAATGCATGGTGGGGCATTGAAGATGCCATAGCAAAATTGATTAAAGGAAATATTAACAAAGGTCAAAAAAAACTTTTGCAGATAATTTTTGGAGATCAGGTAGATTTGGGAGATTTATGTAAATATGTGAGCAAATGAGCTAGGATTGCCCCCTCTGATTATTTTCCAATTACCCAGGTGGAAAATGCCACTTGGTGGACAGTAAAATTGAGCTCAACTGTGATAATACCTCCCACTGTTAAATAGTCAGGAAATGGTCAATTGGGCAATCTACAAGTGAGCTGCTAGTTTCTACAGAACTGTAACCCTACTGAAGTCATCGTATTTAGAGCAGAGGTGGAAAATGAGACAATCAGATACAAACATTGGAATCTCACCTTCATCACCAGTGGAGGGTGGACTTTTGATATGGTTTCCATTCTGATATATTGGCAGCAGGTTTTTGATCAGTTCTTCATCCAGACAGAGCCTCTCGAGCAGAAGCTTGGTGGTGTTGTCTGTAAAGCTATGGGAGCGAATGCAACCATCCCAAATTTACAGCTCCCTAAGATGAAGTAGGAACAAATGTGGAGCTTATTGCAAGTCTCTTTGTGGGTACAACTGCCAAACTGACCATGATTGCTGCCTCTGTTGTAATACAGGCAAACCTGAAAAAGAGAAGAACATGAGGTCAACACTAAATAATAATAATTATGATCCTTACCTTTGATACAGTGCCTTTCACATCAGAAGGATGTCTCAAAAGCGCTTTACTGTAAATTTACTGTAAATTGTTGTGAATGTGCATTTTTGTGTAAAATGTAAACCCAAGCAGGAAAAAAATAAATAAAACTATCTGGGTTTCAGCAGGTTACACTTATATCACACCATTTGCATCGGATGAATGACTCAAATTGCTTCAGAACAACAATGGGGATCATTGAGTAGGTAGGAAAGGAGCAAAGCATTTGAGGGTATTGACCAAAAGCATGGTCAAAGAGACACATTTTAAAGTGGGTCTTAATGGCAGGGAGAGAGGGCATAAAGGCAAAGCAGTTAGAATCATAGAATATTACAGCACAGAAAGCTATTCGGCCCATCATGCCGGTGACGGCTCTTTGAAAGAGCTACAAACTACCAACTACTCCCCCTCTCTTGCCCATAGCCCTGCAAACTTTTCTTTTTAAGTACCCTTTGAAAGCTACTTTCAAATCTGCTTTCACCACCCTTTCAGGCCATGCATTCCAGACCGTAATAAATAAGAAATTCTCTGGGCAAAACATTTTCTCCTTGTCTCCCCTCTGTTTCTTTTGTCTCTGGGTTGAGCAAATTCCAGAGAGAGCATGATTATTTTGTCTCAAGTGTCATTATTTAACAATGAAAGTAAATGAAACACTTTTTAAAGCTGCTGTCTCAGCATCAGACATCCCAGGTCAGATAAATAACAAGCTAGATGGAGAGTAAAGATTCCACTACCACTGCCAATCCCACCACTCCAATAATAATACTTATATTTGACATAGCCTTATCACGTCATCGAATCATCTCAAAGTGCTTCACAGGATTATAATGTAAAGTGGTGTCACTGTGTGTTTTCATAAGACAATTAATCTGTCTAACATGTGCCATACTTGATTTTTCAGTGATAAACATGCAGAGTATAATCACAGACAGTGCAAATATTTTTATTGCACAAAATCATTCACCTTTTGAGTCCAAAGATTCTCGGATTAGTTGAGTCCAAAGTATCTTAGATTAGGCTCATCTGATATTAAACTGGTGAAATACTCAACATGTCCCAATAAATATTTGCATTCACAAAACACTAACATGCTCAGTGTAACTGAAAACTCAGTGTTATTTGTTCACCTCTTTCTGCAGAATATTTGCAAGTCAAAGGATGTTTAATTTTAAACTCTTAAACTATCTAAGTATTTGAGATAAAATATACGGTTCGAAGGAGGCAAAAATATCAGTCTGGTCTAGTCACACTCTTCTATAGCTTGGGTGAAGGTAGGTAATTCAAACAATGTCAGTTCCAGAAGACCAGTTGGGATCAGCTAACTCAGCACACACAAGGGTCTGAACTTAGGACTCTCGTGGTCTGTGATTGCTTAGTTGCACATCAAGCATTGCAATTACCCACTAAGCTATTCAATTTTAATTATTTTAAGAAATACTTGTAAATCCCTTTAAAATCTTGAAAGTGAATGCAGTGAAATGCACTGGCCTTCATTAAAGTTAGTGACCTCTCTGGCAGGCTTAAGTTATCTGATAATTATTTAGTCTAATCCTAGGACATCTGTGTGGTGCTCGCCTGTACTCAACAGTAGGTTCAAATGATCTGTATTGAGTTTGGCAATGTGAACTGCAGGTGGCAGTAAGCTCCTACAGTGTTTCTAAAAAGGAAAATTAGCCAGGTTCCCAGTTGCTATCCAGTGACACACCCAACCCCCACCCACCCCATTTGGCGAGTGCACATGTATGGAAGTTGTTTAAGGAATTTGACCTGGCTTTGATGGCCTTTCCATTCCAGCATAGCTTGCCAACACTGCGTTCTGATGCGTTAAAACTTGTTAATTGATAAGAATGCTACAAATAAGCAAGCGCAGGCTAGGGAGGGACAATTTAGCCAGTATTCCTGATCCCGATCAAAATCCAGTGATGCTCTGCTGAAAGTAGTATCTATAGAAAAGTCAGGAAAGGGCCAGAACAGGATCAGCTGTGATGCCCTCCATGGTCAAATACCCCACACACACTCACTAAGCTTATGCATAAAGAGTGGATACTTGAAGGTGGCACTGGAGGGTTGCTGGGTACTCTCAGCATATAAAGGTGAAAGTAGAAATTGAGAAAAAAAAATTCAGACTTTAAATGTACTTTATACTTCCATGAACAGAGGAAATTAATCTTGAAAATCTTTTATAATTAATGTTTTTCTAGTCTTTGCTGATTGTATCAGTATGAATCCGTTTTACAAATCTCCCCATAAAACTTTAAGCAACATTTATATGTTCAGTGTGTATCCGGTGAATAATTCTAACATGTCTGCAACAATGTGTTTGGTGAACACAGTTATGTACAGTCAGTGGGAAGTGTGCCAGAGTGCTGGGACTTGCACCTCAGGAAGCAAAGCCAGGTCGTTCTGAAGCAGAAGCACGCGTAGTTCCTTCTCCGACAGCTTCTGAAGTCCGTGAGCGGACAGGATGCTCATGTTGTGAAAATCATTGATATTGTGGGAATTCTTGCAAGTTTTCCTGAAAGGGAAGAGAGAGAGATGCTCCAGGACAGGGGAATTCACAAAGAATTGTTACATCACTTCTGTACAGTTCATCATTAGAACATCATTATTAGGCCATTTCCTGTGAAGTTAGACGAAATTTTATAGCAGAGTTCTTCTATTCTGCGGATACATCATAATGGAATAAAAAAATGCCCCTTTTTGTTTCCCTAATGGTGAGCAGGGCACTGTTGAAGATTGTGAAGGTTATCAATAAAGATTAAAGGTAGGTATACTGCTCTAAACCTGCTAATCCATCTTTAAAATACTAATAATTGTTTTGCAGGTCTCTGTGTTTTATTGTTTCAGATTCCAATATAGCCTCAGCATCAACTGCCATTGATGTCCAGGACACATGGAAATTCAAAGCTCATCGCAGCTCTCCTTAAGCATACAGTAGCTCACAACAATAGATGTGTGGCCTGAGGAATGGATGAATCACTGAGTGAGTACTGGAATACTGGTGAAGTGGAGGCCACCCTATGGGCAGTTAATGGATGTTTCAAATAACTGGGGTGTGGAATATCAGTTATGAAAGTAAAAACATTTTTAGTGCTGCAAGTTAAAGTTCCACAGCATTCCCAAAGTTAATTCTGCATTCAAACACAATTTCACTGCCTGGCGCATCAGAAACTCACCTATACCCACACTAAATGCATTGAGAAATTATTTGGCTCTATCCTGCCCTCAACCAATACTGCACCTCTGTTTGGTTAGAACCACATTAACTATTCAACAATTACCAGATTGTTCTCCCTATCTACATAACACACATTGCTGACACAATTTTCTGACTATAAACGTTAACCCTAACCCTCTTCCCTTGGATTACTAAATGTGACAAGATGGAAGCCATACTAATTGGCTCCTGTCGTCTTCTATCCTGCGGCTCTGACGTCCTTAGCCTCCCCAACCTATCCCTCAAAATTACCGAACAGGTATGCAACTTAGGCATCAGGTTTGACTG